TTCCTTTTGAGTTGAACCTGGCTGTCATTATCCTGGAGGAGATTGGTTCCCACTGCATGAGAGCTTTAGCCGCTGTTGGTGACATCATGATGGCTACTCCCTCGGTGTGCTCGTGATTGTCCTCTGGGTGACCGGAGTAGATTATTGTCTCTCCAGTTGATAGTTGGCTCCTTCCACATCCGTTCCATCTGCTCTCGCAGATTCCCAACACTTCTATTCTATATCTCCTCATTTCTGCGGCTACCTGAGCAGCCTTCCCAGCTTCGTACATTGTACGAACATTCCACGTCCCCATCCTTATTTTCGCTTTCATCGAAAGAAGGCACATCGGCTGACTGGCTTCCCGAAGGCTTTCACCAGCCCGCGTCATTTCACTTCCCCGATTCCAGCGAAAAATAAGGTCACTATTTGTAATTTTAGAATTTTGAATATATTTGTGCGTTGAAGTTTCTGTAGCGATTTGGTTAAGTTTTGGGGGCGGAGTTGCTAGCACCACGCCCCAACCCTCCCTCTTTATCCGGGCTTGGGACCGGCTAGAATACTAGTGACCTAGTAGTCTAGGCGAGGTTTCATTGCCTAACTAGGAATTTTAATTGATTCGCCGGGACTATTTATGTTATCTTGCTGGTAGCAGGAAACATGGTGCGGCATGGCAGCCATGGCATTAATAGTTGGATCAGAGAAGGGCTGAGTCGGTATAGACCATACAATTCAGCCTCACCATTTCTACTGAAGCGGTTAGTTGAGCCACTTGAACAGCTTCGGGCTCCATTCTGGTCAGCTTCAGCTAGAAACAATGTTAATGACTTCTGTGAGGCAATCTCTCCCGCTGGAACTAGACATTTGTGAAAATACTTAAACAATGGAATTTTGGTAAGTGGGGAGATGAGACTCAGATTTATCATTATTGAATATTATTTCCTTGCATTCTAAGTTAAAAACAGGGCTTCAACAACACATCTCCACTTTGTTATGTTTTCTGCCATCCTCTTCAGCTGGGTTCACAATTCCCCATAATCTCTCATCTACTCTTCCCACGATCTCCTCCATGTCACCCCCACACCGACGATCCACTCGTCCCTTCCTATTTGGATTCCACTCGAGTAGTGGCCTGTATTGCACTCGATGCCATTTGATGACATCCTCAATGTATGCCCGATCCATCTCCACTTTTTCCTACATATTTATTGAGCGATCGACTCTTGGTTGGTTTGTTCCCGGCCAAAGTTTATTGTTGCTAATTCTTTCTGTCAAGCTGGCCATTCGATCTTCAGTATGGAACCAGCCAGTGAAGGAGGCAGCTGATGATGATAGTCTGCACCAGGCTGTTGGAAATCCTCCTCGTGACAAGCAGTGCAAGTTCCTCACGCATATAGAAGAACTGACTGACTGACTTCACATTTGTGTTGAAAATCAGAATCTTGTTCTTTATGCTGAGATGGAGTGCTGTACAGAAGATTTCCAAACTGTTTTCAGGTTGATGAGAGCGTGCGTATCTTGCCTTTCCGATACTGGTTGGCTGGCTTTCACATCTTCATCCATTCTCACTGCCTGTAGTTGAAACGATGCTGGCTTCCTAGATAAGTGAAGGCAGGAAGTACCCTCTAATAAATCTCTCCTGTTGATGGTGATTTGGTGCTGCTTGTTGTTGTTGCTGTTCGTCGGTTATCTTCATCACCTCCGTCTTCTGTGTTCACCTGCAGTCCTGTCTTCGTTGCCTACCTGCTTATTCCACCAGTTTCTAGGTTTCCACTTGCCTGTAATTCTTTGAGTTTGTGTGACATTAGGCATATATCGTCCACGCGCGAAATCCAGATCTTCTAGAGTCTTCTTATCAGTGATCCAGCGTATTCCTGTCCCCTCACTCCCAAGCGCAATCTGACGCATAATCCAGTCCACCACAATTAAGAATATCATCGTGGGTGATAATAATGATAATTTAATAATAATAATGTATACTTCGTATAAACTGGTGTTAAGAAGAAATGCATGCCAGTTTTATAGTCACGATCAGTTATGTTATAAATCACAATCGTGGAGTATCATAAATTAATACTTTTTCAAAAGTTTAAATTGTTCGACAATGGTACAAGCGATCAGAACAGGTTCTTATAAATGTTAAATTGTAAACCGTTCACTAGGGTTACCACCAAAGTTGAGCGACAAACCAAACATCATTCTATTTCCTGCTGATAGTTATGGTTAATCAGTGAACAGCATATATTTGGGTGAGTGCTATGCCACCACTTGATTAAAAGATGTTTCAGGAAGAGGAGAACATCCTGACAGGCAGTCATGTTCTACTCCTTTATGCACTTCAAACACCTCGCTGAGTTCCTCGTTGTGGACTACTTGATTAACACGTGGCATTATCATATAGTCAGCTGTTGAATGAGGTTCACAAGGACTTGGGCACAGCACGTCGTAGTGTGCAACAGTTTCCAAATTACTTCTCGGTCAACACTGTCTGTCGAAGACCTTCTTGAAGTCGAAGAGGTTGAGGTAGAGAGAGGTTTGACTGTCATTCTGTGCTTTGTTCTGTGATGACGATATGTAGAGTTGCAATTAGATCAGCACACGATTTGGCTTTTCTGAATCTAGCCAGCTTGTTCCGGTTGGGCCAGTGGATTTCTGTATCCAGTGCACCCTCTATTATCTCCAGGATGATGCGACTCAGTATTTTACTTGGCGTGAACAAGAGCGTTATTCCACGCCAGTCAGTTCTTGCACAGGCCCAACTAGGTCGCCCTTCTTTGGCAGCTTGACTAGGTAGCCTTTCTTATAATCAGTAGGTACCTTTCGTTCTTTCCAAACTGTTGGCATTAATGGAGTGAGACCATCTGCCGTAATCTCTTGGTCACACTTTAGTGCTTCGGAGGGAATTCCACCTGGTCCTACTGCCTTCTCTGTCGGAACTCAGTAGCTTGATCACAATTAGAATTTCTGCTTTCGTTGGAGGAGTAGTGTCCACTGGCAGGCAGTTGCGTGCGTGTTGTTGTTGGTAGTATTTCTGGGCGAGTTGCGGGCGATGGTCGATTCAAGAGTCCTTTAGAGTGGTCAGCCCATTGTTTGATTTGTTTCTTCTCCTTGGTGATCAGGGTCCCTTGAGCATCTTTTATTGGTTTCGCCATCTGGGATGATCTCTTCCCAGACAGCCAGCAGCCTGGTCATCTGATATAATGTCCTTAGGTCTCTTTTACCTGCGGCTCGCCTGTTCTAATTCAGTTTCTGGTCGGTGTGTTGTACAATCGTCCTTCGTCTTTCTCAGCACACTTCTTCACTCCTCTCCTTATCCAGTGCAGTGTACATTGAACTCAGCTTCTCCTTCTCCTGTTGTCCATCTTTGCATTGAGTCATCTCTTTCACCATCCTCCTCTCCTCTCCTTTCCTCTCTTTGATTAGCTTCCAGGTAGGTGTCCGTTGACAGCCATTCCTTTTCGTGTCCCTTCCTTCTTCCTAGAACAGTCGTCCACGTTTCCTTGAATGTCGCGCTCAGAGAGTGCTGAAGTTTTTTCACGCACGTTACCTCAGTGATGCCATGTGGTGTCTCCTACTTTGCTCTGATCTGATCTGTAGTGAAAGCAGGCATCCCTTGTAGTTCTGTCCATCAGTTTCTAAGTGTTGAACTTGAAATACAGTGGTCTGTCTCCATTTGTTTTGAGGGATTTCAGCTTCACCTTGAAGGTTCCTTGAACCAGATGATGGTCTGAGCCCGCCCACATCTGCTCTCCTTCTCGACTTTGCATCCAGCAGGCTGACTGCGTCTCCACTTTCTTGAGCAGAAGCATTGAGATGAAATCTATCTGGCTTATGGTGTGACCGTCAGGCGAGTTCCGTGTTGCTAGGCTTGTGTATGTGCTTGTACTTGTGCACGCTCCCTCCAATCACCAAATCACTGAAAGAGCAGAAGTCCGCCAGTAATTCTCCGTTCTCATTCATTTCTCCGAGCCAGAGCTTCTCCACCAATGACGAGTTCTTTCCTGTATTATCTGCTCCCAGTTCGGCTTGCACTCATATATCCCATAAGGATTTTGATGTCACCATTCGGGATGTGGTCCACTACTGTTTTGTAGTTGTCTGTAAAATTTCTCCTTCTCTTGTTGTGCGTTGTTTGTAGCACTGTGTGTAGCATTGGATAATTGTGACCTCCCTTCCTTCATTTTGGGTTGAATCTCGCTATGATAATCATTCATTCCTACTGTATTAGGGCTTCGGCTGCCACTGGTGACATCATGACAGCCGTTCACTGCCTCGATGCGTTCGTGGTTGTCGTCTGGGTGACCGGGGTAGATTATTGACTATCCGGTTATTAATTTGGAGAGTCCACGCCCGTCACATCTACTCTCGAAGATACGCAGCACTTCTATGCCATATCTTATTATTTCTCCGACTACCTTGACAAACCTCCCAGCCAGCCTCGTACATTGTACGGACATTCCACGTCCCTATCCTTACTCTTACTTTCATCGGCTTTCACCAGCCTGCTGTGTCATTTCGCCTTTCCGATTCGAGCGAAGAATTAGATTGTTATTTCAAGTTTTTGTATTTTTAATATGTTTTCTTTGCGTTGAAGTTTCTGTAACACTTTGATAGGATTAGTGGTGTGGGGTTGCTATCCCCACTCCCAACCCTCCCTCTTTACCCGATCTTGGGACTGGCTAGAAATCCTGCGAGCTCTCAAAATAGGCGTATTTTAGGTCGAGAATAGAACTGAAGTGACAGTCTTATGCATAATTGTTGCACAGGTATCTGACATCTTAAATGCCTTGAAGTTTCAGAATCGAAACCTAAAGGGCTTTTTGACTTCCGATACCTGAAACAAAATATATTCTGTAGGGTCCACTTCTGAGTATTTGTGCGGAATTCATGTTTTAAGTGTCTTACAAGCATTATGAACATTGCTTGTCAAGAAAGTTCATATGAAATTTTCTTGGAGCATATTAATTAATGTTTACTTCTCCTTTAAATAAACAATTGGACTTTAGAATATTATGTCTTGGCTACCAGGTTTAAAAGTCATTAGGTGATGTCGATATTTTCGTTGATTGCACTAATGGGTTTTTTCTTCCTATTGGTTAAAAAGAAATCCCGTTAGGGATTATTTAACCACTAAGCGTTTCATTTTTCTCTGGTTATTCAGCAACATAAGGTGTAGTATAAACCAGAGATGTCATATATTTATGTAGTTATTTCTATATCTTCCCACCTAGCATTTTTTTCGGGCACACTGCGAATTCTCCAGTGTAAATAGCGGCATTTGCAACATTTATGCGCAAAGATTTTCAATGAGATTTTGAAACATTTTTCTTCTGTAATGAATGAAAATTATTGATATCATGTAGAACGAGAAGTTATTTAGAGAATGATCGATTAAAATATAGCTCTCAACTGTTCGCCCATTCCAAGCTCTCATCACTTATGTCAATTTTTGAATTCACAGGTTGGCTGAAATTCAATCCAAGCCATGTACGTGGCTTTAAGAAGATTACTCTTCTCAGGAAGCCCTATTTAACAATATTTTTTCTGTGTCAAACTCCGTGTAGTAAATAAAGTTGCCATATCTCATAACAATTTGTCGTAATAAGCTGTCTCTGTTAACTTGCGGCTTTAGTGAAATGGTCAAGTTAGCGGCTGTTTTCCATTAGTGGCCATATGCAACCTTTTTATGTTACCGTCATACTGGTGATACGCCTCAACCCTTCAGCCATATCATTGACTCGATCTCTACAGAGAAAGTGTAATGATCTCCAAAGATAACGACGCTTCAATGGTTTTATTTTGAAAGGGATATTCTGATTCTTTTCGTTTGAACCTAACTGCTCTGGAGTACTCCACTACCACACAACGACTTGAATTGAATGATAATGTAGGCGAACCAATGGTGGCATATGTGATGAAGGCTTTTGCTTAAGTAAAAGGATGCGGGAAGCAGAGCCTCATGGTTCCATTTAGTAAATTTTCGATGGCAGTCTATATTTATTTATATGATCCACCTAGCGACTTGTAGGTTGTGTAACAATGGTCCTTGGAATGCTATAAATAAAAGGTTGAAGCCTTGTTGTAACATGTCTTACAAAGCTTCACCATGACTTAGATGTGTGCTTCCCTTGACACATTCGAAACACTGACCACTTTTAGCAAACTCAGTTTAATTTTTCTTCTCGTGTTTGTTTTTCTATCGTAGAACCATACTATTTTTGCTGTGTTATTCTGTTTCTACTTACGAAGCACAGGAACCTTTCTTGTATAGAGTTCTGTATTGTTCTTTCTGACTGTTCAATTGGAATTAATGTTGTACCATTCACTTTCATGTTCAACAGGTTCTGTCCTCAAAAAGTCAGTCGATATTTCTGTGAATTTTTAGGATGAACCCACTCTTCACTAAACCGGATACCAAAAAGGATAATTTTTACGAATTGCTTGGCGTTTCTGAAGACTCATCTGTTTGTTAAATTAACTCAATCAACATTCACTAGGAAGACCAAATTGTGTTTGAATATCGCATGAAAGCTCGAGAGTTTCATCCAGACAGAAATCCAGGATTGAACACAAGTAATTCTTATTAGTCCTAATTGACTGTTTGAAGCTTTATCATTTCAGAAGATTCAAAAGGCTAAAGAAGTCCTGACTGACCGAACTCTTCGTCATTTGTACAACATGTGGCTGTCTAGTGATCTGAGTCTTTCATTTGAAGAGTATCTTAAATTTCAGAAGAAATTTCAAGAGGTATTTCAAGTCTTTATCAGTAATACTTAGTGTATGCACTGGAACTCAGATGCCAAAGATACACCCCGGATGTTGGTCGAGGCTTCAAATATTGGTACGTTAAGATACTCCACTTATTTATACATATTTTCATAGATCGCTTTTTCACGAGTAAATCTGAATCGGACCATCTCCAAGACATGTTGAGACTTTTTCGTGCCTATGAAATTTGAAGATAAACCAGGTTTCACCATATAGATAACGTTATATTTCGTATACTTTCTATCTGTTATTCATTTATGACAACTTAATATTCCTACCATCTCTTCATTCCTATGTATTTCCCAACTAAATTCCAACTTATATCCAAAGTAGCAACAATCTATAGCCTAATGTATTTTGTCATTGTAATTTTATTGTTGTTCTCATAAAGTGTTCATTTTCTGGTTAAATCTAATATATTCGTTTGTGTTCTTCATATTGTTTTTGTTGGAAGGTGTAACTTGCAAGGCAATCAGCACTGATCCTGAAACAAGGCGTCAAAGTTACATTTGTCCTTTTTGTTGTTAAAATCATCAGTGGTTCTTGGCAAGACTGTTATTCGGTAGAAATTAACATTCGTTTTTGAATCTCTTATTGGAACCCCATTACTGCATTCTGTGGCGTAATCAGCCATTACAGGTTTCTGTCTGTCGGAGAAAAACTCGTTTGAAGGAAGAATTAAATATTTCGACATAAAAGTGTTGGTTTCTCCACTCAACAGTCACCATATTTTGTTCCTTATCTGATATGTGTCTTCCGTAAATCAACCATCATCAGTGCTGATTTAGTGTTTGAGTAGAAAGTAGTTTCATGTATAGCTGCCAACAGAGTGTGACACCTTCTCAATGTTCTGGGTTGAAATTTTTTTAGCAACCACCTAGGCTTTGGAATGATAGAGAAGATTTGCGGCTCGTGTGGACTTTTTGTGTTCTCTAATCTGGATGGTCTGGTAGGGAAGCTTCCATTTTCCTTCTAGACAACATTGAGTTCAGCGTCAAAGATGTCCAGAACGATAATGAAAGCGCCATGGTTATACCATTTGTTTAACAGAACACAACAACATCATAAACCTGGGCTTCGCCAAATGTTAACTGGTACTGTTTCAATGTTCTGCATTAAGGATGGGTAGTGGAGTGGTGGAATGCTTTATGTTTCACATTTTTCAATGAATAGGATACCCTATTGTGTATCTTTTAAAAGGCTGCACTGAAGGTTTTCGATTGTTATTTACTAATAAAACTCAAGGATTTCAGTCTTCCTGCAGACTTGTAAATTAAAATCTGTACAAAGAAAAAATGGAAAAGACAGTCATTTGTAGACAATGGAACAGTTTCCCGCATAACTTGTGTTTTTTACTACCTGAACAACAGTCAGTGGGTGTGCAAGCAGAGAATACACAAGATTATCTGTATGTATCCTGATCGTTCTTGGTTCCCTCGGTATCATTTAACACAGACATTTAAAAATATGATAGTCAACTGGTATCTGGTCAAGGAATGTATTTTAGGACTTCGCTTTTTGTCCACGTTTGCAATAAATGGAATTTAGAAAGGAAGTATGTAGTGAATGGACGCACCTGAACTCTGTGTTCATACCTCACAAACATTTATTGCTATGGATGCCAGAGTACTGGTTAGTGAGATAGTTAGGCTTACTTGAGATGAAACTGATGGCTTCCATACATAGTTCGGAACATGGCTTGCCGACACTATGTGTACCTATCCATGAGTTCCACTCATAGTTTTGAGATATTGCAGATCAGGAATTTGTAAATTTGCTGATAGAAAGAGAGAAAGGAATGAAAGCAGCGTGGATGAGAGGTTTAACTATTTTCAATTTCAAAAGAAAATTGTAGTGTAATCTCACTTTGAGCTATGCACCTTTCAAATAACTGGTTGGATTCTATAGTTTTACTTCTTCTAGCCGGAATTCAGAACTTGGTTGCTTTGAACTCATATAGCTTTGTAAATAATGTGAGTCGTTTACTCGATTGATGGATATGTTAAGTATTCGAGAACTGTTTGATAGCAAGAGTATGGGCTGTTGACTACCTTCAGCGCAGACGTAGTTGACGTCTCCTCGGTGAAGGACGATATAGTCCTTCTAGGCGAGGACACTGACAAAATGCAGAGTCTACTGAGCACTTTGCGCAACAATCTTCGTATGTTTGGTATGCGATTCGCCCCCGTAAAATGTAAGATGATGCTGCAGGATTGGATTTCACCAACCCCTAGATTAGAAATAGGAAGTGAAGTGGTAGAGCACGTTGACCGCTTCACTTACTTGGGAAGTACCATCAGTCCCAACGGGTTGATCTCCGACGAAATCTCAGCACGAATACAGAGGGCTAGTTTCGCATATGCCAGTTTAAGCCGTCTCTGGCGTAGACGTGATATCCGACTATCGACCAAAGGGCGTGTGTACTGCTCAACAGTCCACTCCGTCTTCCTTTATGGCTGTGAGACCTGGCCATTGAGAGCAGAAGACATGAAAAGATTAGCTGTCTTCGATCATAGGTGTCTGCGTTCTATCTCCTGCGTGAAGTGGTATAATAAGGTGAGCAATATTGAGGTAAGGCATCCGTCGAGTGCTAGGTAAGTGGGAGGGGAAATCAGTCAACGAAACTGTGAAATTACATCGACTGAGATGGTTAGGACATGTATTACTTATGCCTAGTCATCGCCTTCCTCGACGGGCAATGTTAGCTGATATAGGGCCAGGCTGGAAAAGAGCTAGCGGCGGTCAAACGAAAACATGGCACCAGTCAATGAAATCCACAACAGTTAATCTAAGCCACGTAGGAAGATGTAGACTTCCTGGTTGGGGTCCTCGGGACGGTAAAAACCAATGATTGGAAACAATTGATGACATGGCTCAAAATAGTTCTCAGTGGCGCAGATGCATCCACTCCTTGTGACTTATGATTTCCAATGAAACTGTTTTGTTATTCGTTATTACTATTCCTTTGTCTCACACCTCTGTTCACTGTCTCTAATATGCATTTCTCCTACTTTCTTCTCTTGTTTTGTGTGCTACATGGAGTGTGGCGACTTGAACTGCCGCACATATGTGCAAAGTTCTATGTCGAAAACCGACCGACCGAAGAAGGATTAGTTTTTTGATCAGTGCAGACTTCAAGGCATACATATCTGGTCTTGACGGAATACTAATGTATAGGAATTTGCAAGAAAATCTTGATTACTACTGTTAGGCCCATGTTGTATGAGACTATGGTAGTTGAAATACTATGTACTGTTAAATTAGAATAATTTGGCTATTCATGTAGTGTTGTTGTGTATATATAACAATATAACTGCTTTTTTTGCTGTTTCGAAATAAATGTACTCATAATTTGAACTAATTAAACACAATTATATAGATTTTTATTCAATGACTTTTTTTAGTCATTAGAACTACAATTAATCTTGTTTTGTGGAGAACATTGATTATTTCTTACTACTTTCTTCTTTGTTAGTCGACGTTCTCCAGTGCTACAATGTGGATAATGATGTAAATAAACAGACCGATTACCAAGCTCGTAAAACTGAGGATTATATAATAATCCTTTTGTCATTTTTTAGCTTATCACAACGTATTTATTACCTTCGGGTTTGATAATTAACTGAATTAGGCGGTGTTGTTACCACCCTTTATTTATGTTAACAGCTCTTTATGGACTCTAAAGGACATGCTGTTGTGATTTTACCTTGAGTATGTATGCTTAAAACCCTACTACAGACATTCGGAAGTTTATTCTAAACGTTCATTTTTATTAAATGGACTATATGATTGTACCTTGTAGATTTGCAAAGAAATTAGCCCGCGGAATGTTTCCTTGCCAACCAAACTGATTTATATCATTAACCTATAACCTTACCGAACTAGGACCTAACAAATATGAGAGTACACAACTTGTACTGGTTGTGGTAGTAGATGTAGATATCAGTCCTCCTCTAAATGTACCTACTATTAATCGGCTCTATATGCATGAAAATGTTTCGTGGTAGTGACTCCTTAATGGGCTTGTTTTGCAAGTGCACCGAATTACATTAATAGGCTTCAAGTTTCTACAGGTAAAGTAGCTGTATGGTACCAAAGCAGTAAGTGCATTAACCTGCTAGTATTGACTTCGATATTGCTTAGTTATATCATTCTATCTAAAATTTACCCAACTAGAACATGTAAAATGAAGTGAATTATTCCACTGTCCTACTATGAATGTAAATGAAGCATAAACAGTATCATTTGTTAGGTCATTGTGCGAAACGGAATGACAGTTTCACAGAAAATATTTTCAGCCACCATATTATGTCCCATCTATACTCAACCAATTCACAGTTAAACAGAGAAAAATATACCATGTTTTTATCATGTCAGATGCTTCTGATTTATAGACTCTGCTTAAAAGAAGAGATCCATAGAAGCATCAAGAAGCTAACTGCCATCAGAATTGAGATTGAACAACTGAAGTCAAAACCAAAAAGTATTATGGATTATGAAATGTTATTCGAGACAGCTAAAAAGTCAAGTTTGGCTACATTCAATAGATAAAAAATTACTCTAATCAAAAAGTTCAACAAATTAATGGAAGGAAAATATCCTGCTAAAGTAAAAGAACTCACCAATGAACAGTCAACCGTCAATAAAACAAAGTGGATAATTAACCTCTCAGCAAGAACCTTAAGTTCTGATGAAATAAAAGTACTTAAAAAGGGATTAAACTTCAATGTAGCTGTTAACAGATTAAAACCTGAAGACATCATTCCCAGTATAGAAGCAGTATTAATTGAAACAGACAAAACTACTGCGGAACAAATCAGAGCACAGTGTGCCTTGACAATAAAAAATCAGCAGAAACGAAGAAGCAACTTATCACAAAAAGAAATAGCAGCTCTGAAAAGCTTGAGAAACGACAAAAACATAGTGATTGCAAAGGCGGACAAGGGTGATACAACAGTAGTCATAGACAAATCAGACTACATAAGCAAGGTCAGTCAACATATTAAAACAGGCCCATATTTGGAAATTAAAAAACCTCTGGACACCATTATGAATAAAATCAAAAAATCTACT